CTTTTTTAATGATGGCAAATTAATGTCATATCTTATTTTGGTCTGTGAGAACTGAGAAGACATGTTTTCGTGTGGAGAAAGAATTAGATTCAAATCTCACAATGTCTCTGTAAATGCCTTGTGACATTGCAACTTCTTTTTGTTTTTTTTAAACAGATGCGTCTTGCACTATAATTAACCGTAGCCTGCAATTTTTTTCGACTTTGTTCGTCAGAAGTAATGGACGGGCGAAGACATTCCGTAGATGTTCCCATATCGAGAACACTCGTAGCTCTTAGGAGAGTGAGGTCCCTCCGTGACCCGTCTACTCACTCCATGAGCAAATTGTCATCTTTGATCGACAGTTTAGATTGGGAAACAAATCCTGATAACTCAGTTACTCCAGGATTTGATGGCTTAGGCAGCTGCGAATTGTATTATGGTTCGAAACAAAGTCAATCGGAGATAGTTCGTGAAACTAACACGATAATGGGGAAAATGCTCGCCGACCATGATGATAGAAGTTCGTGTGACGAACATGACGAACGGGATGAAGTCTTGAAGCAAAATGAGAAAAGGATATCAGAGATAGTTCGTGAAACTAACATGAAGATTGAAAAAATGCTCGCCGATCGTGATAATAGAAGTTCGTTTGACGAACGGGACGAATTCTTGAAGCAAAACGAGAAAATGGAAGATAATTTCGGTGGATCTAGGCATTCGAAGCTGGGAAAATCTTATAAGTCGACAAATGGCGACGCTTTGAGCCGTTCGGGAAGTCCTTGCTCGTACTCTATTGGTGAAAAGATTGGTTTTACGGGTTCTTGCCATCAGGGGTGCGGGATAAGAAGCTGCTGGTCTAGGGCAAAGAGATACAGGGAATCAAATCTCGTTAGTAATGATGACGATGTTCTTGAAGACCAGCCTCTTCTTCTAACCGGAGAAAGTCCATATACAGAATTTCCTACTAACCTCTGTCAAAAGTACATGCCGAAATCATTTTCCGACTTGGTCGGGCAAAGCTTTGTGGCAACTTCTCTGCTGAATTCAATCTTGAATAAGCAGATAAGCTCTCTGTACCTCTTTCACGGGCCGCGCGGGACTGGAAAAACATCGGCCTCGAGAATATTCGCCGCTTCTTTAAACTGTCTCTCGCCGGGGAATATCTCGAACAAGCCTTGCAGCTCGTGTCGTGAGTGCAGCTTGCTTTTCTCGGGAAGGAGTCGGGATTTTCAGGTGCTCGACCCGTTGACAATCAACAAAATCGGACGACGAAAATCACTGGCCGGGAGCATGTGGGCCCCACCGGTTTCTTCTCGGTTCAAAGTTTACGTTTTGGATGAGTGCCATCTCTTGCGTGGCGAGACGTGGGCAGATTTGCTGAGCTGGCTCGACGGGCTCCCGAGGAATAACGTCGTTTTAGTAATGCTGACACCAAATCTCGATAAAGTCCCCTGTAGTGTGGTGTCTAGGTCTCGGGTGCACCGTTTTCAGAAAGTTAAGGAAGCTGATATAGCGTGCCATTTGAGAAAAATATGTGTCGGGGAAGGTATCGAGTTCGAGGAGGATGCTTTGAATTTCGTAGCGAATAAATCGGGTGGTTCGGTTCGGGATTCGGTTATGATGCTCGATCAGCTGAGTTTGCTCGGGAAGAGGATAACTGTGTCCTTGGTTTGTGAAGTGGTGAGTTGGAGGATGAGTTTTGGGATAACTACAAATTAAAAGAGCGTGCTCAATATGCTCTGTATTTGTAAATTACTACATTTAAGGGCCTTGTTTGAAATTTCCTCTATTTTTTTCTCTTTTTTGATTAGCCTGCAAAGCTGTATTGATTCCTTGTCTTGACTTTGAAGCTGTGTTTGCTGACGCAGAATGGAGTTGTCTCTAACGACGAGCTGCTCGATTTACTGTGTCTAGCATTGTCATCTGATGCTTCGAGGACTGTGAAAAGGGCCCGGGAGCTAATGAGATCAAGAACCGAGCCTTTGCAACTCGTGTCTCAGCTGGCGAATCTCATAATGGACATTCTTGCCGGAAAATTTCCAGATAACGCTTCTTCAGATGTCACAAGGAAGCTTTTCGGAATGGATAATTGTACGTTTGAATTTTTTTAAGCTTTAAAGAATGAATTTTTGTTTAACCTTTGCATTTTCGATTTCGACTGATGAATGATGTAATGGCAGCCGAAGCTGACATGCATCAACTCAGTCACGCGCTAAAAATACTCTCACAAACCGAGAAACAGTTGCGAACGTCTAAGAATCAGACGACGTGGCTAACTGTAGCTCTTTTACAGCTCAGCTCTTTCCATGACTCGACCGATTCACGGTTAAGCATGAGAACGTTAAACCCGCCAGGCAAGATATTTTACCCTTCGGAATTTTTTACTAATTTGACCTCTATCGAATGCTTTTAAATCATACTGAGTCCCTACTTTCTTCAGAGGGTGAATTTCACAGCACATCATCGACTTGGGAGAGCTTGAAGTGCTCAGTTGCATGCGCTTGTGACGAAGATGAATCCGAAAAAATTCGAACAAACGACGAATCAGAAACTTTTGAGTTGGTCTGGTCAAGAGCCGTTGATATTTGCACACCTCGTTCTTTCAGGAAGTTCCTTCGCAAACGTGGGAATTTGGTCGATATTCGTCTAGTTCATGGTATGAATGTCAAATTTTCTCTCTCTTTCTGTATTTTGGATATTATGCATTATATTTTTTATTTTTTTGTTTCTCGATCGTCAAATATGTCGACTTTCTTTCCATGTGCAAAAAAGGTACAACAGTAGCCGAATTGGAATTTAACCATCCGGATTACGTGTCGAAAGCTGAAAAATCGTGGAAAGTGATAGCAAGTGCACTTCAGCTAGTTCTTGGCTATAACGTCGAGCTAAGAATAAACCTCGCAAATAATGGAACAAATAAGCACGCCGCCAAGTTGAAAAGGGATTACTTCGGGTTATTCAATTGCTCACGAAAAGTGCATCTCAGAAAGTCTCCCACATCTGAAGAATGTAAAAGTAGTAGTAACAATAATAATAATACTTCAGAAAACTTTGATCAGACTAATACAAACTTAACGAGGGATAAATACATCGAAACGTGTTCTTCTGAGTGCGAGTCTCAAGCAGGAAAAGGCTTTCCATGTTGCCATGGAAAGGAACTGTTCAAGACCATTAGGGGCAAAGATGGAAATTCACTGAGCATTGGGATTCGCACGCCCGGAAAAGGCTGCCCGAATTCAGTCACCACCGAGCCCAAAAGTAAAAACGGGTATTTTTTCAGGCTCTTATCATGCACATTATGCTGTACATTAATCAAAAAAACTTCGAAAGAGTTATAATAATGTTGTCGAATGAAAATATTGTCGCGAAACAATGATTTTGGCGGTACGGAACTTCCAAACAATAAAACTTTTTTTTTTTTTTTTTTTTCCTTTGCTTCAGCTGATACCTTTCAAGTTTAGCAAATCTTTTCTTTTTCTTTTTGTTTTTCATGCGATGAATGGGATTTCTTTGGTGTGTTTGGCAGTCGAAAGGACTACTTGAAGTTCCATTGTTGGAAAAACGCCATTTTTCCTTTCCGTAAGGTATGATGAAGGTCTCTAGATGAGTAGTTTTGAGTAGTAATCGCATTGCGAGTTATGTTTCAAAAAGTTACCCAAAAAAAAATAAAAAAAAATGGAGTCTTGACTTGTAGAAACCCGACCGAATGTGTTCAGGCATGGCAGCTGAGGCATAATCATCCACGAGACGAGGCATTGGTGGAGTACGCTATGCATTGTGAGACGGCGAAGTAGCAGATCATTGCCTTATGTGAACCGAACTAACCTTGACCGACATTTTGAGTGCTTCTCGTCGCATGTCACTGGTTTTTGCTCGACCCTTTCGAGTACATAATCGATTATGTTGTCATCTGGTCTTGTAGCATTTTGCAGATTTTTGTTTCAAGAACAAGATTTGATCAAAAGAAGTTCTCATATGATTATTAAGTTCTTAAAAAAGTACTACAAGATAGTTTTTCTTGTATATGTAATTAGAATTATTAAAATGACTAGAGAAAAATAAAATGGACTTGGATTAGAATTAGATTAGATGCCTAAAATGTTGGATTAAGACCTCTAATTTATTAGGCCAAATTTTGTACATACCACAAGATTTTAAAAAAATTGTAAATATACGAGGTAAACATCTTAATTGCGTGGATACCTATTGAATTGCTTTTATTTGTTAATAAAACATAAACTTCCGTTACTTTAGTAATTCACTTTCCTACAATCACGCAAAGAGTGGATAAGGTAAGTGTGTTTTACCAAATAATTCGTATTATCTATTCATATCTAATGGAAAAAGAGTTAAAATATGAAAATTCAAACGTATGACAAAACACGAGAAAAAAATATACACAATATACACGATATAAAAAAAATCAGTCTCTTTTGATGATCTGAAAACATAACTAGATATTTTCAATTACAGAACATATACAGAACATATACATCTCCTCATACATGATATCAAAAAATCAGTCTCAACAAATCTGAAAACGAAACTTAGATATTTACAGAACATATACATAACCTCATCGTCGATCCAGTTTTATTGCAGAACATATACAGAACATAAATAAAACATATACAGAACATGCACATAACATGTATTCAGTGCAGACATATTTTTTAGGTGTTGTCGGCGTGAAATTTTTTTATTGTTGTCGCCGAAGTCCGACTGAAAATGGCCCGAATCGGATGTGGATCGGCCCTTTCATTATCTAGATCTAGTTTTTTTTTTTTTTTTTTT